GCAGGAGCTTGAGGTGCCACCAAGTGGTCCAGTTGCATCCAATTAGGAAATAGGATGGGATGCTCAGCTGGCTCCCTCCTTTTTATGCAGTCTGTGACTCAAGCCCAGGGGATGGTGCCACCGATTTTTAGAGTGGGTCTTTTCACTCCATTTAACACAGTCAAGAATGGTCCTTCCCAGGCAAGCCCAGAGACCAACATGACCTAGGTAATCCTCATTAACTTGTACAGAAGCTTGTCTCTAGAGTGCTTCTAGCTTGTTTTTATCTGATACAGATGCATCAACTTACCAAATTGACAATTGGCATTAACTATCACAGATAGTTGTGCGTGGTGGTAAACGAATGAATACTTGAGTTCAGAAGCTCAAACCAGGGCAACATAGTGAGACCCTGTCTCACAGAAAGAAAAATAAGGTAACATTCATCACCTGTTGAATTTTGTCAACTTCCTCAATGGCTTACGTATTTCACTCTGATGTTGAATTGTGGGAAAATAGTCATTCACTTATTGCTGTTCTGAAAGCAGAATCGTAAGTAGTCTCTGCCAAAGATGACAGCCTGGCAAAAAATGTGAAATGCACATAAGGCATTATAGCACAATTTGTAATATTAATGGAATAAAAAACTGGAAATAACACTGATTCCCATCATTAGGGATGAGAGCATGGTGTTCATGCCCATAATCAGCTATTTTATTTTAAAACACATGAAATAATATTAGGCTCTTGAAGTACTGTTATTTGTTTTGTTTTTGTGGCTTTTTGAGAGAGGTCACCCTATGAAGCTTAAACTAGTCTCAGACTCCTGATTCTCCTGCCTCAGCCTTCTGAGTTAGTATGTTCTTATGAATGGTTGACCCCTTTGTCATTAAATAATAGCTTTGGCTGTCTCTTATAACACCTTTTGGCTTGATATATATATATGCATATGTGTGTGTTTGATTGGTTTCATTGGTTTTGTGGTTTTTTTGAGACCAGGTCTTGCTGTTGTGACCCAGGCTGGTGTTGAATTTACAGCAGTTCTCAGCCTCCCAAATGTTGGGATTACAGGAGTGCACTTCTGTGTCCAGCTTGAATCTGTTTTATCTGATACAAGTGTAGCCATCTGTGTTCTCTCGATTACCAGGTCTCACCCTTTTACCTTCAGCCTATGCAGTCCGAACATCTGAGGGACAGCTCTTGTAAGCAGCATGCTGTGTATGGCTTCATTTTATCTCAGTCCATTTTGTGCTGCTGTAGCCAGACTGGATAATTTACACTCTTATTTTTTTCAGCATTCACATTTAATCTAGTTCAGGCTTACGAGGCAAGGACTCTACCATGGAGTTGTGTCCTCGCACCCTCCCCCACCCGCAATGCTAGGGATTGAATCTAGGGCCTAGTTCATGCCAGGCAAACACTCGGCCTTCCTCAACCTGAGAGTAAATACTTTATAGTGAACAAAGCTTTATTTCTTGTAGTTGTAGAGCCTGGGAAACCCAGGGGCTGAAGGACAAAAGAACAGGTGATAACGAAGTTGGGAAAGCAGAACTAATTCATTCTCTGACCTGCAGTGCACTCCTGTGCTCATGAAGACACCCCATCCCTGAGGTCCCAGGGTTGGGGGACAGGACGGATGTGACATGGATGGACAGACACAGATGGATGGATTCGTCAGTAGATCCTATCATGGAGAAGTAGAGACTGGGTCAAGGTTAAGTCATAAATATTGGCCCTTATCTTCACTTTTACATTGCTAAAGACTCAATGTTTGAGGCTTACTTTGTTACATTGTGTCATATTTTAGGCAGTCGACTGAGAGCTTCAGTTTCTTTGACTTTGTGCAGAGGGTTAGAACAGGGAACGTGTAAATGCACTCAACTGTGTGTACAAGGAAAGTCTCAAGGAGTAAGGGATAAGATGTTTAAGAGTCCTCAGTAGACAGTAGAGAGCAATTGAGGAAGACAACTAATGTTAATTTAAGATGTCCACACACAGCCAGGTGGTGGTGGCGCACGCCTTTAATCCCAGCACTTGGGAGGCAGAGGCAGGTGGGTCTCTGTGAGTTCAAGGCCAGCCTGATCTACAGGGAGAGTTCTAGGACAGGGTTCAAAGCTATAGAAAAACTCTATCTTGAAAAGGCAAAAAAAGAAAAAAGAAAAGAAAAAGAAAAAAAAAGATGTCCAAATACATGCATGTGCTCACACACGTGAATACAGATACATCCATGTGTGAACACCATGCATATGTACACATTAAAAAGAGAAAAATCAACTGTATTCATATTCAGGCATTTATTACACTAGCCTGCACTCAGGGACCTAGCAGGACACATCATCAGCAACATTCAAGATGTGACATTGCAGCTACTACAGCCACTAAGTAGAGCACTTTCCCTATGCCTGTGCGCTCTATCCCCCCCTTGCCTTCTGCTCTCTCTCAGAGGTCGCCTCTGCACCCTCCCCCAATAAACCTCCCGTGTGAGCTCTGTTGCACGATGTGACTTTGTGGTGTCCCTTGATTCCAACCCGCCAAGGTTGCCTTCTGCCATTAGACTATTACAACCTGATGGGTATCTAAATATATTATATATATAATAAATGTGTGTGCAGTTATTCCTAGAATGTGCTGACTTGGATTCTTGTGGGTCAGTTACCCAGTAGTGGTATATCTAGATCATATGGTAGTTCTGTTTTTAGTTAGTTTATATATGTATGTATGTATGCATGCATGCATGCATGCATGTATTTATGTGTCCGTATATGTTTTAATTGGTTTATGTATGTATGTATTTATGTGTCTGTATATGCTCACATGTGTGTGAAGGGAGACCAGAAGAGGGCAGTAGGTGTTCTCTATTATGCTTTGCCTATTCTTTTGAGTTAGAATCTCTCCCTGAACCTGGGGCTTTCCTTTTCTTGACTAGGCTGGAAGCCCACAAGCCCTGGCAATGCTCCTGTCTATCTTCCTTGGAGCCAGGGTTACAGGTGTACATAGCATGCCTGGCTTGTTGTATGGGAATTGAAGCCCAAACTATAGTGCTCCCAAGTTTGCAGCAATTGTTCTTAACCACTCCAGCCCTGTGCTCAGGCGGAGGCTCCACAGCGGCTTCACAGCTTTGTGTTCCCACCAGCAGTCTATAAGCTTTTACCCTCCTTATGATAGCAATTCCATCCCAGAAGAAATCAAATCTCACTGAGGGTTTAATTTACATTTTTTTGATGGCTAGGGGTGTTGAGCATTTTTCCTTTTTTTGCCTACTTACTGGCCATGTGTATCTCTTGCTTTGAGCTATTTGTTCATTTGCCCATGTACTATTTAGATTATTTGTGTGTATGTGTTTAATTTATATATTCTTGACATTGACTCCTTCTTGGCAGACTGTCCCTTTACTCTGAGAATTGTTCCTTTGCTGTGTTGAAGCTTCTTAATTCCTTGCCACTCCATGAGTTAATTCTTGCTGTTATTTCCTGGGCTGTTGGGGTTCTTTCAGAGAACTGTTGCCGTGACTGTATCTTGAACTGTTTTCCTGTGCTTTCTCCAGCAATTTCAAAATTTTTAGTCCTATACTAAGATCTTTGAACTATTTCTAATTTATTTCTTAAAATTTTTATCCTATGTATATTAATGCCCGTGTGTATGTAAGTACACCTCAGGTGTCCCTGGAAGCAAGGAGAAGATGTTGAATGCCCTGGAACAGGAGTTAGAGACATTTGTGACCTGCCATTTGGGTGTTGGGAATCAAATCCAGGTGTTTTGGAAGAGCAGCCAGTGCCTTTAACCTCTGAACCATCTCTCCAGCCCTCTGAATGGACTTTTACATAGGATGAGATCTATGCAATGACTTTTTTTTTTTTTTTTTTTTTTTTACTTTGACAGTGTTTTAGGTAGCTCTAGGCTGGCCACAAACTCTATGTAGCTAAGGCTGGCCTTGAACTCCTCATCTTCCTGCCTCAGCCTCCCAAGAACTGGACTGCAGGTGTGTGTTAGTTTTTCTTCTCAAAGAATAAATTCTCTCCATGATTTTCTAGAGAAAGAAGATCTAGAAAACACCAAGATCAGCTCTCCACTGGCTTCTGCCTCTGATCCAGAACCCCGGCCCTCACCCTACAGGTAGGGACATACAGCTGCTGTGGACAAATGCTTCTGGAAGTTTTGTCCTCTGAGAATAAAGTAGGCAGTGATTTTAGGGGGTGAGACAAACTGCAGTGTTTATGTGATTTGTCCGGCTAAGCCATTATATAACCTTTAGGCTGTCATCCTTTCCCCACATTATCTGTTTATTTTTATCTTACGTATTATGTGTGAGTGCCTTCATGTGTGTGTGTGTACCATGTAGAGGTCAGAAGAGGGACTCAGATCCCCTGCAACTGGAGTTGTAGGTAGCTGTGAGCTGCCTGACCTGGGGGCTGGCACCCAGACTGAGTCCCTAGGAAAGAACAGCAAACGCTGCTGGCTGCTGAGCCGTCTCTGCGTTTCCTAGGCTGTTGTTCCTTTTTGGTTTTTTGAGACAAGTTTTCTCCGTGTTCCCTGGCTCTTCAGGAACTCACTCTGTAGACCAGTTTGGCCTCGAACTCACAGAGATCCATCTGCCTCTGCTTCTCGAGTGCTGGGATTAAAGGGATGCATCACCACCACCCTGTCAGAGTATGTGCCCCCCTTTGTTTGTTTTGATTTTTTGAGACAGTGTTTCTCTGTGTAGCCTTTAGGCTGCCCTTCTTCTTCTTCTTCTTCTTCTTCTTCTTCTTCTTCTTCTTCTTCTTCTTCTTCTTCTTCTTCTTCTTCT